ATTCAGCAAGAATTTACATTAGCTAACTTCATGCCACATGTGGCAGCCATGCAGGAGTATGCTTTGGGGGCCAAGTCCTATCTTTAAATATTTTTTAAATTGTAAAATTTCACATTACAAATAATGCAAAACATTAAGAGATGACTTCATTTGTGTGAAGCGTATAAATTGTCAGTGAGCTCTTGAAAAGTTGTGAAGAAAGAATTTCAAGGCATAGTGAAATAAGTCAAACTGTTTAAACCATTTTTTAAGCATCATTAAACCACACTGATTACATACAATGTTTAAGAAAGTTTCCTAGGTTTTGCTGACAAGTTTTTGCTCCCAAATAAATGAGTATTTCTTAAGAAATCACTGTGCATTCCGTTATGTCAAGAGATTGTCTTCCCAAAGATAATAAAGGCAGCAGCTTCCTGATTTTCATAAGACTAACACATTCTATTTAATATTTCTATTTCATTTATCAGAAATTTAGGGAATATTTAAAAATGCCTGGAAAAGTAAATTACCATGTAGATAGTAGTTGCCAAACAGTAAATTAAATAATAATAAAAAAAAAAGGCAGGGAAGGAAAGAGAAATGAAAGGATGGATGGAGGAAAAGAAGAAAAATAATCCACAAAGCTCTAAATGATATTCAGCTAGTTTCCTTGGTCACTTCAGTAATTCCCAGAAGCTATTATGCTCCTGAGGACTGCAGACTCAGCTTCCATTTCCAGTTCATTGGAAAGGGGGCAGGTGAGGAGAAATTTCACCTCCACAGCCTTGGAGAGTCAGTGCGCCAAAGAAAATGGCATATTTACCTCTTCTTTTTTTTTAATTTTAAAGAGAGTAGTAAATGAGAAACAAAGAAATAGAACAGTAGCAGCATACCAGTATCACAAACATAAACAAATCAAAGCAAGAACATTCAAAGTGATACAGAGTCTCAAGACAAAATAATATGAATCAACAGTGGTTGTTACATTACATGTCGCTGTCCTCAACGACGTTGCTCAGATTCCCAGATGTAAGAATGAAAGATTGCTCAAACCATTAGAGGGAATAAGAAAATAATCCTTCAATAAAACAGTAGAGATAAAACAGAGTTTCGCTAGACAAGATGGTAGCTCACCATTGTAATTCCATTGCATATTGTTACCTTCAAATCAAAAATCAGGCCCTCCAAATTCAAAGACCCAATCCAAAAACGGGCATCTGAGATGAATACACAGTTCCCTAATGAAGAGATACTAATGGCAAATAAATACATGAAAAAATGTTCAATGTCATTAGTCATTCAAGAAGTGCAAATTAAAACAACACTGAGATTCCATCTCACCCCAGAAAGAATGGCTATCATCAAGAAATCAACCAATAACAAATGCTGGAGAGCCTGTGGGGAGAAAGAAACCCTATGCCACCGCTGGTGGGAGTGTAGACTGGTGAAACCACTGTGGAAAGCAATTTGAAGATTCCTCACAAAACTAGGATTGGAAGTCCCATTAACCCAGCTATTCTGCTTCTGGGTATTTTCCCAGAAG